TGGAAAGTAGCTGTGTATTCTGACGCACTCGCGCACACAAACACACACACACACACACACACACACACACACACACACACACACACACACACACACACACACACACACACACACACACACACACACACACACACACACACACACACACACACACACACACACACACACACACACACACACACACACACACACACACACACACAAACAGGTGCACACAAATCTTTGTGGGGACTCTCCATAGGCGTAATGATTTTTATACTGTACAAACTGTATATTCTGTCCCCTTAAACTGCCCCTATCCCTAAACCTACCGATCACACACAACTTTCTGCATTTTTACATTTTCAAAAAACATTATTTAGTATATTTATACGCTATTTTCCTCATGGGGACCGCTGGCTGGTCCCCACAATGTAGGTGATTTCAGGTTTTACTATACTTGTGGGGACATTTGGTCCCCACAATGTAATATAAACATGAACACACACACACACACACACACACACGCATTGGGTTTCCATGTTTAATGGGGACATTCCATAGACATAATGATTTTGATACTGCAAACTGTAACCCTAAAGCTACATCTCTCCTCTAACCCTAAAGCTATATTTTCCAAAAACATAACTTTGTATGATTTATAAGCTGTTCTCATGGGGAGCAAAAAAAAAAATCGATTTCAGATATTGCTATCTTTGTGGGGCTATTTTGTCCTCATAACGTAGGGTATACCTGAACACATTTTGTAAGGGGGAAAATCTGAGAGGTACGATATAGCCTATATACATTGCGTCCGAAATCAAATAATTCCTAGTATGCGAAAAACAGTAGGCCTACGACAAAAGTATGCTAAAAAAGTATATAGTAGGCTTATGAGTGTGTGTGTGTGTGTATGAGTTTGAAGAAGGTCACCCGGGCACTTTTTGCCAACTCTTTTATGAATACTTTGAATTCAGACACACTTCTTTTGCCACATACTGATTTTTACCTACTATATAGTAGCGAAGTATTAGATTTCGGATGCATCCATTGTATTCGGAAAAAGTAGGTGAAAAGTCCCTGTATGACCTACTTCTTCTGACAAGATTCTGAAGTGAGCATTCGATGGACATTTTACTATCCCATGAGGCCACTGGAGAGGATTTGTGAATGGCAGTGAAGCGACACAACTGACGCTAGTCACAAAGTAAACTCAAATGTTGTACCTCAGACAGTATGCGATTTCGGACGCAGCGATAGTCCATTTGCTTTGCATTTATTTAATCACATTGCTGCTTAGTAGAGACAACTGATATATATTAAAGAGATCTCAGTTGTGTTTTTGCTTCCGATGGGATGCACGAGCCCAGTTTTCTGCTCTAGTGAAGTCCATTCACACATGTGCGATCACTTTAAATATAGAACATCTCAGAAGAGGAGGTGGAGTGTGCTTCGGGTTTTCCTCAGTTCCTCTACTCTTCCAGTCAGTGCTCTGCCGTTGTGACCTACTTCCCCTCTTCCATGACCCACTTCCTGCACTTCCACTCCGACCAAACGCTCGCTTCCGCCGCCGGTGCCAGTCTCAACCAGGCCTCTTGTATAACGAGCTGAGACACACACACACACACACACACGCACACACACTTTGAGCCGGATGGAGTCAGAGACTAACTGTCTCTCTTCAGTCTGTGGGTGGCACAGACAGAGACTACATGTCCTTGGCAGGGAGCTATTGTGTTCACACTCTTTATGGAAGGCGATATCAATGTGTCAGGCCTTGGAGTGGAACAACATGCTAGGCCTACTCATTGAGGAGAAAGAATCTGCTTTAGTTCAGATCCTTTCATTGAGCTGATGAAATGCGCACAATGAAGGTTTTTAGTGATTCCAGGCTTGTTATAGCTTGATTTTATACTTTGTGCCTCAGTTCTGAATGAATTGCAAGGACCGGATGAAAGAAAACACCAAGATTAGTTTGCGTTTATTATATGGACTGTAAATGCCCAGAAGTAATATCATAAATTAAATCTCTTTAAGAGTTGTTACATTAACATTTATGTATTTGACAGATGCATTTATCCATCCGGGTTTTTTTATTGGCAAAAAATGATTGCAAATAAACAACCAGCATTTGATGTTCTAATATTTGAGCTGAGGTGTTTATTTCTCCAGGGTAGCGTTGAGATTAAAATGCAATTTTTAAACTAGCAAGTATTCTGTCAAAAATATCCCAGTAATCACACATGTGGCTATTGTTGACTAACACTTTAAAAAAATTAACTCTGAAATAAACAAATAAATAAACAAACAAACATATATTTTATGTATATATAACATTTAAAAAAAGAATGAATTAATATTAATAAAAGCTATATAGATATAAATAATAAAAAAAAGCACATAACAAAATTGCTAAAACTTAAGTTAATATAAAAAACTGAAAAATCTAAAAAAAATAAAAGCTGATTCAAAATATTAATAAATACTATAAAGTTTGAAAAATGTTGTCAAACATTTCTCAACAAATGTCCATTGGCAGACGAAACATCAATACGATCTAAGGAAAATGTCTAGTTTTTTAACTGACTCAACAAATTCATCTGTCTTAGGCCGGATTATTGCATATGAGACCCAATTTATGAGTCACTCACAACTGTATATTTTACCTTTATAGGACGGTGTGCTGTATTTATAGCTCAATAATCTCACTTATGTCCACAATTGTTTCATTTGCATCTTATTTCATTTCTTTATATCTCAGTTAAGTCTCCTGACTTATGAAAGAGCAACATCAGAGCAATAGCCTTCTCCTCTGGGTGGGCTTTGAAGTGCTTATGTGGAGTTTTTCCTTATTTTCCTTCGGAGAAGAGTGACATACTGTCCATGCTGCTGAAGCAGGATATTGTCTTTCAAGTCTTCCTGTCTCAGTCTGCTGACCAATGAGACAGAACCGACTGCATGCACTTGATAACCCGACTCTGGGAGTGTGTGGCGCTGAGGAAGCAACAGCACACACACACACACACATGCCTTTGAGCTCACTTGACGAAAAAAACACAAACACAGGGGAATTAGGAGGAAAATAAAGCGGCATTCCACAGATGCCATGGCTTCCTGAAGGACGCAGGCAGCGTGACCTTTCATCTGTTTGTTTCATGTGTGTGTGTGTCACGAGTCTGAATGAACTCAAAGGAAGCACTTTAATGAGGGGGCAACTTTTCACCAGGGAGGGTCTCAAACACAAACACAGGAGCGGAGTGAACACATTCACAGCATTTAACACTCATTTCCCCATCCATTATGGACACAAACATAATACTTATCAGCACTTTAAGACATTGTAAATGAACCCCAATGAACTCAGTGTGATGAGAGTACTGTTACTGTATGAATGTTGAGGAAGTTCTTCTGTTTTAAGGGCCCTTGTAGAACAACAATAGCAAAAGCTATTTAAGTGCACAGGTTCTAGGAATATAGTTCACAGGAAGCATCATTTCCAACTTTCCACTAAGGATGTTTGCATAATTGCTTTGTCCTGGGCATATTTACTATTTTGTGCACGCATCTGCAGCTGTTGTTATTTTTAACCTTTTTTATTATTAATCATTCTAATAATAGAAACGTTAACGTTGCATGCGACTCCTAATCTAATCAGTATTAGTATATAATCCATTCATGACATACATGTTTTCATGCACTCATGATTTATTATGTTTCGACTGAAAAGTAAAAAATACTTAATAATAAAGTATCAAACTTTTTGTCATAATAAAGAGAACAAAATTGGCAACACTTTACAATAAGGTTCCATTTATTAACATTAATATATTACAAAAACATGAACTAACTGTGAAAATGCTTATAAAGCATTTATTAGTCTTCGTTAAAATGATCTGTAACATTTTCTAATACGTTATGAAAATCAAGTTTTATTATTATTTAATGGATCTGAGCTAATATGAACTAACTCTATTTTTAGTAAATAACTTTAACAAAGATTAATAAATACTGTTACAAATTGTTATCTCATTGTTAATGCATTAAATAATGTGACCTTATTGTAAAGTGTTACCACAAAAAAAACAAAAAGTAACCCTTTTACTGTATTAACAATCACCTTTCTAAATGCATGCCATTTTTGTGGTTTAACAGAGTGATAAAGCTTTAGTCATTTTAGTTTTTCAACATAGTAAAATAACAAAAAGGGTTTTTTATTTGCATGTTATTATAAAATTGGGATTTTTACATAGGCTTATACCATAAAACATAAAGAAAGTCATTGTTGAAAAAACATGATGATTGAAAAAGTCTAAGAATAGTTCTGCTAATTTAGTAACAGATGAATACAGCAATTTTAGGCTTTAGTAGAAGAACTTGTAAGTATTTCAGTCAGACCTAAGCAGAGCACCCTGATTTATATGTGACTGCTGCCACCTAGTGTTCAGATTGGGGAACTGCGAAATGACATTTTCATTAATACTTTGTAATGCATAATGGTTAACTTTTTATTAATCACATAGTTAATTAATCACATTTATTTTATTATTTTATTTATTACAATTATATTCATAGTGAAGTATTTATACATCATGACAGTATTTGTTTTACTGATTTTAATTGATGCCGATTTCTTTAAACAAAATTCAAATAGGATCCAATGAGATTCTATGAAGATATTCATTTGGAATAATAGGAATTACAATCAAACATCAGGAGGAGGGGCGATACAAAGTTCTGGAACTTTGGTAGCAGGAGATTATGGAACCTTTGGAATGCAGACACAAGACCCTTCTTTTTCCCCCTGTGTTTTCTGTATTGCACTATTGTCCACTTTATGTTCTACAATAGTGTATTATTCTGTACATTATAAGGCGTGCACATTTTACAAACATCATTACAAGCAAACGTTTGAGAATATAGGCGTTGTAGAGATCAAAATATTTAACTAAACTACGCGTCTCCATCTAATAAAACTCGAACCCCATTGGTCCACTCCTCTGCACCTGTCCTTCATTTCAGCCAATCACAGCGCGACCTCACGCACCTCCAAGATGGCGACGTCCATCCAGAACCGCTGTAGGCACATTCTGTGTTGGCAAAATACTCGCGATAACTAATCAAAACAAAGTCAGGCACACGCGGCAATACAACTAATCATATCGTGGTCGCCTTTGGATATCTGCACATGTCAGTTGACGGCGTGGTTTTCGTTTTCATGGCTGTTTCAGAGTGAAATTGGGCGTCCTCTCGCCATGGCCACCGACAACAGGATTCATTTCTGGAGGAGAAACCAAAAGGTTCCCGGGAGGTGAATTTGATCATTTATTTCTTTTTATAAAGTAGCTTTAAAGTGTGTTATTTTATTGGCAGAAGTCATTTTATATTAATATATCGGCTCTGACTAGCTGCTTTGTTTCCTGGACTCTGGATGTGTGTCAAACCCTGGTGAGCTGTCTATTTTGACAGCATGCTTGGCATCCTAGACGTATGTTAGGTTTTTGGTCATCAAAGATGTTGTAAATATCTAAATTACTTATTTAGATTATTATAGATTATTTTGACATGTTATGAAACCACTTGTCGTTGCGAAGTTAATGTGGGTTAATGTCAACCATAACAAAAGTTCACCATGTAAACATAGTTGCCACCAAAATACCTTATTGTTATTACAACTTTGAAACTGTTAACTTTGGTTTAGTCTCTCCATTGTCATCAAAAACAAAAAGCTTACACAATATGATGTCCAAATAATTTGGTTGTGATGTTAATAATAATAATTACTGAATGTACAATGCTATCAATGTACTGGCCTATACAATGGTTGCAATAGTAATTTATGTAAGGGAAACACAACTTCCTGCCAAGTTTTAGTTGTTTTCTAAACACTATTTAATTAAAAGCTCTTAAAGCTGGTATGCAGGTTTGGCCTCTTTGTCTTTGCTGGGGCTTTTGTTAAGTCTGACTCTGGACAGTTTGCTGAGTGTGCTTCGTTGCAGGTTGTTTGGATTTTAGTGGTCACAGACAGAATCAGTTCATCTGACTCTGCGTGAATGTGAGCTTTTGATGACTGGACAGTTTCCTGTAGATCAGATTTTATATTGGGCCATTACATAATCTTGCAAAAGAGGAACTAAAGAGGAACTCTCATGCAGGAGATTCACTGCTGTTCGTGCTGCTACTGTGGCGTACTGTGCAGTCACAGAAATATTTGCATATGGAATTGTTTTTCTGGGGCATTTCTTTGCCTTTATGGGATTTGTTTCTAGCCATGTTAAAATAAAGTCTGTTTTTGTCCAATAGCTTATTCAGTCTTTATATTCAGATATGTTTATTTCTCATTAACCCTAAAACAGGAGTGGAAATTGATCATCAAAAATAATTTCATGTTATTTTTTAATTTTATCTGGACTTAAGTAAAACATATCCAAAGGAATTTTACAAATATTTGATATAGTTTGGATTTTATGAGTTGTATCTCCCGGGTATGTAATATGATATTGTTCCTACAATATTGTATTTTATTTATTTATTTATTTTTCAGAAAAAAAGTAAGATTAATATGCCTACTTTATACAAAGTCAGAATGTCCAGCACTATGGATGGACATGTTGGCTTTAGGTCAAACTGGCCAAACGAGCACATAAAATTTTAACCAAGTCATGTGACCCACATTCTCCAAACAGACTCAACTATGATATTGACAACAGTACTGGATGAAAAATTCTTTCTCCTGCCTCCTACAAGAGACTAAACAATATGTATCCCGTGGTACACGTTGTCTCTTTTAGGGTTAACACAGCATGAGTTGTATTCATTGAAATATACAGATCATTTGCTATTATCTCAATATTATGTCAGTATCTGGAAGTTATTGTCAGAAGAAGGTATTGATTAGGTTGTTAACTTGACATTGACTTTTAGTCCTAGATCTTGTTCTTGTCCAGATTCCTGAGCACACACTCTTACAGAATTGAAGGGGGACACAATCTATGCTATGATCATAGTGAATCTTTTTTTATTAAAGGAACACTCCGACTTTTTGGGACTTTAGCCTATTCACCTTATCCCCCAGAGTTAGATAAGTCCATACATACCTTTTTCATCTCCGTGCGTGCTATAAGTCTGTTTGACGCACCCACCGCTAGCCTAGCTTAGCACAAAGACTGGATGTAAATGGTTGCAGCTAGCATACTAATCCCAATAAGTGACAAAATAGCGCAAACATTTTCCTATTTACATGTTGTGATTTGTATAGTCACAGAGTGTACAAAAAACAAAGTCACATGAGACACAGACATATTTTAACCGTATAAATACTGGGAACTATATTCTCTGAAGATAGTCTGAAGACAACATGTAAATAGGACAATGCTTGCGCTATTTTGTCACTTATTTGGATTAGTATGCTAGCTGCAACCATTTACATCCAGTCTTTGTGCTAAGCTATGCTAGCGGTGGGTGCGTCAAACAGACTTATAGCACGCACGGAGATGAAAAAGGTATGTATGGACTTATCTAACTCTGGGGGATAAGGTGAATAGGCTAAAGTCCCGAAAAGTCGGAGTGTTCCTTTAAAGTTACCATATTAAAGTTGCGATAGGCTAATGTTTTCTTCCCTGTTGTGACGTATATCTGAGTGAAACGGCTTCTCGAACAAGAAAAATGTAGGGTGAGACTTTGTCCATCAGGAATGGATTGGATGGTTGTGGTTTGCTATTGGTGGATTTCATGATGTGAGTGACGGGTTGTCCCGCCCTCGTGCCAGATTAAACATCATCAGAGAAGAGAAGAGAAGAGACGTCGCTGCAAGAGGGAGGGGGAAATGTTTTGATTCAATATTACGAGGGCACATGAATTAAAAAAAAAAGTATGTGCATGGACAAATCATTTATAATACATCCTGCAATATTCCATAAAAAAATAAGAATGGTCCATTTTGATTTCACAGTGACTTTAAATGGAAAAAACCAACAACATATTTTAGGGTAAAAAAAAAAATGTTTTCAGGGGCATGTTGCACAAGATATTAAAAATAGCTTTAAAATAATGCCTCCAGATAATGTAACTGATATTTGAGTAATTTGTATTATTTTTGTTTTAGAAAGTAGAGAATTCTTGCACTACTGTTCAAAAGTTTGGGGTTTTGTTTTTGAAAAAGAAGATTCTTACTAATCATTTATTTGATCCAAAATACAGTCATGAACAGTTAGCCTATATTGTTAAATATTATTAATTTAAAATAAGTTTTGTATTTTTAATATATATATATTTGAACTGTATTTAAAAATACAATCGTCATTACTTCAGAAATTATTCTATGCTGATTTGTTGCTCAAGAAACATTTCTTATTTTTATCCATGCTGAAAACAGTTGTGCTGCTTTCTTAATATTTTTGTCAAAACAGTGATGCATTTTTTCCCAGGATTTTTTGATGAATAGAAAGTTCAAAAGAACTTTGAAAGTGTTTATTTAAAACAGAAATATTTTGTAACATTGTAATTGTCTTTACTGTCATTTTGGATCAATTTATTGTGTCCTTGTTGAATAAAAGTACCAATTTCTTTAAAAAAAAATCACACTGAGCCCAAACTTTTGAAATATGAAGCTATTTATATGGTAGTGGTAGTCAATCTCAATCAGTATGCACTACAGTATATAATTTTTCTTTTTTTTAAATAAAGTAAAAATTCCTAAACTTTAATTAACCGAGAATCGTCGAGCTGTTTTTTGAAATGGTTCTCTTAAAATAATTGGTATGTAAAAGTTTTACTTAAGTGTTCATGACCTCATCATTTCAGAAAGTTTAAGTTGCTGTATGATGAGCAGATCATGATGTAGATGATGTTAAAAACAGATGGATGGGAAAGATGAACCTGCTGTTATTGTTTGGGTGTGGTTGTTATCCAGACGGTTTGAGTTGCTTGTTCAGGTGAATCTGCAGCAGTTGGAGGGCGCACAGTGGGTGTGTTCCTGCTGTAACAGTGGATGAGAGGTGTGGCCACTTTCCTCACCATTTATCTCATTCAACAGAAGGGACAGAGCATGCAAAACTGATACTAGATGCCTCCAGACAACCTTGGTGTCTTCTCGGTCAAATAACACGAGCCACAGTTGTATAGAGGCTAGGGTTGTTACCAACATTTCTGCAGTCTGTACCAGTATTAAGTGTGCGGTTCTTTGTACCAATTTCAGTACTAGAGCAAAAACTGTTGAATTAAAGGTACAGTATGTAACTTTTCTCACTCTAGCGAGAAACTACTGCATGTGTCTTGTGGAAGAACATATTAGCCGGAGCTACTTCTCTCTGTTTATGTGTATGTCGAGTCACGCAGATACAGGGCTACTCCTCAGAGTCTCCGCTAAGTTTCACAGATTTCTGTGAACCAAACAGACTGAGCGCAATAGAATTGGAGCATAAGAATTCGAACAAAACAAATATGCTTTGCTAAAATATTTGTTGGACAATAATGTCATATTTAGATTTTTAAATCTACAAGTGCATTTTTATGAAAGCATGAACTGTAAAGTGACTATTGTAATGGGGTAATCAAATAGCCAAATATAATTAGTCTGTTCTTTTACTTACTATTTTCATTTTTAGTGGATTTAACTTCTACTTTAAAAAGCATTATTTACATGGTTTTACATGGTAATGTGATTTTAACCCTTTTTTGTACACACAGTAACAGCCTACATGCATGATTACATTCACTATAATTGTTTTCATAGTCTTCAATATGATCATTGTTTGTAGGACAACATTAAACAGGATGTGAAAATATATATATTTTTTAAAATAATTTAAGAATTTTTGTATCCAAAGAGAAAAAATTTAAATATACCGACTTCGAGATATATATATATATATATACCATATATCGCCATTTAGCCAAATAATACAGAGATATGATTTATTTATTTTTGTCCGCTCGGTCTAAGATAGTCTGAATATGAACATTTAGTATACCCAGGGATTTCTTATTCAGGATAAGACAAAAGCCCTGTTTGGAAGAAGGATTCATGAGGAACTGTCCTCACTCATTATATCAATTTTTAACAAAAAAGTTACATACTAGTAACTGTACCTTTAAGTACTTAAAAAAAAAAAAAGTGTCCCATTTCGTTGGTTATCACATCGCAGTTTCCGGTTCAATCATGCATTTAAATTGTCTATCCAGAAACTTATAGCAGGAAACTAAACTTGTATTCAGATTGTGAATGGGTAATGAACAGAAAGCAAGATATAAGGCTAAGACTGCCCATCTCTAGTCTAAACAGCAAGCTCACTGCATTTTGCACTCTCCTGAAAACTCCTGTTGTAATAAAACTGTCTTAAATGTACAATGAATCTCTTATTTACATTGTGTTTACACGGTGTGCGGCTCATGTTGAACAAAGCACAACAAGGTTTCAGCGGTGTGACACAGATTCTGACTAACTTACTGACCAGCACCTCTGATAGGCTATTGTGTTCAGGCGCTCAACAGATATGATTGTGATTGACTGCTCAACGCTTTAACAAACACAAACGTCTCTCAGCGGGCACCGAATCTACCCGGTACTTGGTACTACCGGTACGGCACAGCAGTGCTGTCACAGAAAGACACAGAATGTGTCTTCTGGTTCTGTCTGTTGATAGCTGAATTATGGACTTGTTTAATTCACTTTAGTAAAATTCCCATTAAGGGAAATGAATAATTACATTTATAGCTTTTCCACTATGTTAGCTTTTGTATGTAGATTATAGTGTGGAACAGTTGTGTGTGTGTGTGTGTATAGCAGAAGGAACACCACAAGTCTAAGATAACGCTGCCCTCCGGCAAGCTGCTCGTTTATTCAAACACACTCCTTGCTCACAGCCTAATATTTAATGCAAATGCAAGCAGCTTGCTTACATATCTGGAAGTAATTTACCTTTTATTTTGCACTCTCATAAAAATTGATGAGCCATATTTCAGCTGCATTGTGTTTTTGCCAATTATTCTGTGGTCCCATTTGCACATAATGCATTTAGTATTGTTGATTTCAACAGAAAAGGGCCTTGTAACAACCATACCGTTAATTTTCCTTTCAAAAATATGACCACACGTATGGCCCTGTGTTCCCCGTAAAAATTCTGCTTAGCACTGCAGTCTTTGGACTTATTTCACCGTTGTGCAGAATATTGCACAGTAACTCATGATAGCCTCTAATATTGTAGAGATTCATATTTATATGTTGTTGTAATGTGGAGGGCCCAGCAGTGTGCTTGACTTGTAATTTGAGATGTATTTTTTGCTGTCACCAAGGACTAGCAGGTCTATCCTCTTGCTCAGGAATTGTTTTAAACTACCTTTACTCCTCCAGATATTGGTTTTCGCTGTGTGTTTCTGACTTAGTGCCGGGGGATGTATTGAATATTCAGAGTCAGAGCTCCAGACTAACATTTGAGAGTTCAACAGATGGTGGCGCCAGCACCTGATTTGGTATAGCGATGGGGGGAAATTTGTCATGAAAGTTAATTTAATCATACAATTACTATTGTTTTGCACTAATAAGTGCAGTTACTATTTGGATTAAATGTTTGTTAATTGGAAAATTGACAGTAATGCACTGAGCTTGAATTGATAAGCAGATCAAATTAACTTTTAGTAACAACAGTCACGTGCAAAAACCAAAATCTAATTTTTATTGAGGAAAATGTAAATAATCTACTCGTATTGAATGTACCATTATAGTATCATACTGAACTGACCAACAGCTTCAGTGATTCAGTGCTCTTTAGTTGTTTACTGTGTAATTTCAGTCACAATTTGAAGAAATGTTTTTGTTTTTCATTTTGTTTTTCAAGACTTTGTGACTTCCTTTTTTTCACATATTAGGGAGTGGAAATGTCTAATCTATTGGGTATAGTGGTCTGGTAATGTAATGTTTTTTATTTATTTTTTATATATAAAGTAAAAGTGATTGTTTGCCACAAAGTGTTAGTTTTTCTACATCTTTGAACTTAGGTTTACAAATCATCACATTAAAAATAACATTAAAATTGGATAATCTTTAGAGATTTGAAGTGCTGGACAAAGCTGTTAACCAAACTTACAATTAAATTTCATATTTGAAATCACCAATACAATCTGACTTGAACTGCATCATAAATAAGGATGCAATGGATCACAGTTGATCCGTGATTCTTACTAGACCAGGCCCCACGGTTTGGCATGCATGTGATTCGCAGATGAATTGCTTAGTTTAACCATCATAGGGTGAAAGTTTGTGAAAGTGAAAAATTATCTTATCCGATATGATCTGAACCGTGAGTTTAGTGATCTGTTGCACCACTAATCATAAATCTTGTTTCTTATGCTCAAAAGGTATTAAAAAGTGTATATTTTAGGCACGTAATCCACCATATTGCGTGTTTCAGTGTCCCCTCATTCATTCATTCATAGTAATACGAGTGAACCGTCAATAGCCTTTGATTCTATGCATAGTCTTTGAATATCTTCCAAAATGTCCAGAATACAACATAGAACTCCCTGCACACTACTGTATCTCATAATGCAGTGTACTTATGTTACTTGACCTTCAATTTCATTGTAACTGTTGGGATTTGTAATCAGTTTCCTTATTGGCAGCTAGGTGATAAGATAGATAAGATAAATAAGAAAACGTTTTTTTTTTTTTTTTTTTAGGATTAAACCTAACCCTAACTACCATTCAAAAGTAATATTATGAATATTATTGCAATTCAAAATAATTGTTTTCTATGTAATATATTTTAAAATGTAATTAAATTCATGTGATGCAAAGATGAATTTTCAGCATCATTACTCCAGTCGTGTCACATGATCCTTCAGAAATCATTCTGATTTTATGATTTGCTGCTCAAGAAACATTTCTTATTGTAATCAATGTTGAAAAGGGTTGTGGTGCTTAATGTTTGTGGGAACCATGATATTACTTTTTGAGGAATATTTGATGAATGGAAAATGCAAAAGAACAGCATCTAAAAAAAATTGAAATCTTTTGTAACGGTCTTAGTCACTTTTGATCAATTCAATTTTATACATCCTCCTTGTGTATCAAAGTTTTAATTTCTTTAAAAACAAGACAAAAAAACATACTGACCCCAAACTTTTGAATGGTAGTATATAATGAAGTCATGCGAAAGCAAGCATGCTACTATTTGAACTCGTTGCACAATGCATTCTTTTTTTTTTTACATAAAAAAAAAAAAAATATTAGAATATGTATTCGGTTTATATTGTGTGATATGCAGTAAGCTAGTATTTCGTTCTGAACATAGCCGTGCCATTGACCTAGTTTTACTGTATCCTTCCTTGTGACTCAGAAGAGGGCGTTAAGACATGTTAAGTAGCATCTCTGATTTTAACTTTTATTATTCTTGTGTGGTGTTTTGTCTTTTTGGAGCTTGACATTCCCAGTCCTCATTCTCTTTCATTACATAGAATAGTGGACTGGCCAGGATATTCCTCAGAAGTTTGATTTTTTTTCATTCCATGGATGAAAGAATATCATATGGTTTTGGAACAACATGAGATTGTAAATGCATACATTTTGAGATGTAGTATAGGCATATATTGTCATAAGGCTGAAAAGTATTCAGGATCTCCCAGCCCTTTTTTCTGACTCTTTATAGCAATTGTCAGCTTTTCTTTCTCTCAGCTTACAGCCAGTATATGGAGCACAACACCCTCCTCTGGACCCACGGAGACACCGTCCGTAAGTGCTGCTAGCTGGCGACTGTCTGCTGCGTGCAAATCAGCCATATCTTTTTCAGTTATTTGTTCCTTTACTCTCCTCATTCATGTTTTTTTTTTTGCATTTCAGTTGTGGCCCGAATCCATCTAAACATGTTTATTGAGTGCAAGATTTGCATAGACCTTTTGCAACATTTTATTTTTGATTTTTGTTGTTCATTTGTCATGCATTTTCCTTTCTTACTGTAACCTATCTATATATTATAGAGTGTGTGCAATATAGCCGCTTTAAAAAGCTATTTTTTGTTTTGCTATAGATTAAAAGACACTCCGAAGGCCAGCAGTGTGAACACCAAATCCAAAAAACCTGCAACTTTCCACGAATTTGCCCGGAGCACCAATGATGCATGGGACCTTGATGATGAAGAGGATGACTGTATGTTCAGTCTCAAACAGTCCTCATCTTCCCCTGTCCAATCACGATCTACGCCTCAGACGCCCCGACTCAAACTCTTCAAAGCCCCAGAGGACACAGAGCCACTGCCCCGCCTACCAGACAGGCTGGAACCAATCAGCACAAACCTCGATCAAGATGGACTGGATGTTGAAAGTGGTCCAGCCAATGGCAGGGTGGTAAAGTCCTGTAGCGACGCCCAGTTGAATGTGAATGCAGGTATGCTCTGGCAGCGGTTGTTTTTAAGCTACACTATTGTAAGAAGCTGTAAAATGCATGTAAAATCATTAAGGTGTATCAATTTTTTTTTTTTTTTTCTGTCTGTATTCTGAAAAGTCATCATTACCTAATTGCTGTTTGTTATACTGCTGGTACGGCTGTATAAATGACTTTTTGACTGTCCAGTCACAGACTGCTGTAGATACTTTCAACTAAACAGTTTGAGGGCTCAAGTCGATAAGGGTTGGAAAAACTTGTAATATTTTAGCCATGCCTTACCTTAAAGAAGCTAGCTTAAGTTTATTAACCTCAGCATCAATGAAAAATAACCCTACTTGTTTTTTTGCGCAAATTGTGGCAGTTACATTTGTTTTGCTTATGATTCAAGTCAATCTGGTCAACAATGTTTTTTTTTTTTAAACTAAATTTGACTAAAAAACCTGTAAAACTGACTAAAATTAAAGACATGAGGAAAATATATATATATATATATATAAACACTGTATCATACATATGGGGCGTGCGGTCCATATAAGCTGAGAATACTCTGCATACACAAGCCATTCGTGGACTCACTGATTAGTATTAACACTATAAATTCCCTTTTATGAAGTATACCATAGTATGTATTACATGATAACATTTTGGTAATACATATGTAACTGTCTGTCATTTATTTATTTGCCAAACAATGGTCATTTTCTTCAAATATATGTCTGAAGAATATACATACATGCACACATATTTTATGACTTTTACCATGCTTAATGTTTGTATCTTTCTATCCTGTTTAGCTCGCAATACCCTGCAGAAACAGCAGTCACTTCCTGTGCGTCCCATCATTCCATTAGTTGCCCGCATTTCAGACCAAAATGCCTCAGGAGCTCCTCCCATGACAGTGAGAGAGAAGACTCGATTGGATAAATTTAAGCAGCTACTTGCCAGCCCCAACACAGACCTGGGTAAGCCTTAAAACAAACAATTAGGGATTTTTGCTTGCATTAAAAGTAAAGAAAAAAGAGAGAGATAAGGGACTGTTTTCATTAGGATAAAAAAAAAAAAAACGGATCACTTGTGAGTTGCTTGTTAACTTAATTTAATATAAGATATTAATGTCCGTCCATCAGGACCATCTCAAAACAGAAAGCCACAAAACCCTCACGTGTGTTCGCACCTCGTTCTCCTGCCTGGTTTTTCAGCCTCTAGCTGAATCTCTTTGCCAGGTGAGACAGTGTGGGATGGCAGAATGGATGAAACCCGTCCATGATGTTATCCTACTCTTCCTGAGTTCATGCTGAGAGGCCCTTCTGTTCTCCCCATGTTCTCCAACCAATCGTCTCTTCGAGTGCACCTGCGAGCTGGCGGAACAAAAACAAGTTTTGCGTGTGCCTTCATTCGTTTGTGCTGCTGATACTATAATGATGCTATCAAAGAGAGTCACTCTTCTTTGTTTTATAGTTTCAGCCATCACAGGTTCTGAGCTTTCTGAGCGACAGGCTGAAATCACGGGGGAATGAGAACCATCAGTCATTGGAGGGAAAAATTATGCTTATGCACGTCTTTCACTGCGCCTTATGAAAAATGTGCTTGTGATATAGTTGGAGGGGGTTCCCTGCACAGTATTCTGGGTTCATAATGGCTTCCGAGATCTTTCATCATTCTGCTATCATATGACAGTTGGCAGGTGTCCAATTCCATTAGTATTTTAGGAGCGCTTTAATATCGGTTTCATGTTTGTTCTAACTCAAAAACGACCCAGGAGCGACTCACCAGATGTTTAGGTTCAAGTCTTTTAAGTTTTCATAGACGTTGCGAAAAGCAGTTTTACATTCGCTGATCACGATGACCCAGAGGGCTTGGTGGGAGTTCACAAAAACAATCCTCAAAAAGTAGTGTAGGCTTCAGCACCCGGACAGATCGATGGTATTTGGTGTAATGGCATCCACCTGCAATGTAATGTTGTCTTTATAACAATGACAAAATAAGTAATTGAGAATAGTTGAGTTGAAAAGCTCCACTCAATAATAATAATAAAAAGGAACAGAAAGAGAGAATGGCTAAGATGATGATTCATCTGGTTTTCATGACTACAAATATCTTTGCGCTCTATTGTAAGATCTGAAAGTACAAAACCATTTTTCTTTGATAGTGGTGCTTGCAAAGGCAAGGATATACCAGTCACACTTTAGCATGTTACTTGTCCTGAATTGTTTATTGATACTTTGTGTGACATGTTAAGGAGGCGTTTGTTTGTGTAAATGATTGGAATTTATTATAGAGCCTTCGGGCTATTTTGGCTTGGTGCCGGTAAGAAGCCATCTAGCAACCACACAGAATACCCTCGCAACCGCATAAAAGATGTAGCATAGCAAGTTTTGCAAACGTCTGAAGAATTTTTGTGACATTGATTATAAACTGGTTTTATTTACTGTCTAGAGTATTTCTTCAGTAACTCGGAGCTCCCGAATCTCTATGTTTTTTGTTCATAGACATAAAAGAGAAGCAACAGGAAGTACACTGGCAAAATCCTTAAAACAAAGCAATTCACTCGAGAAGCAAAATTGATATAAACCTAATTTAATATTTTTAAATACTTGTTTAATAATTACGTTTATTTTATTTATCCACTGGCTTATAATGTCTTATAAATCTATTATAATTTGAGGTTTTTACTTTGACAAGAAACAGCCGATGTGATAAAATTATTTCAGGATATGTTCTCTGAACACTAATGTTAAAGGGTTAGTTTACCTAAAATTTTTAATTCTTTCATTAATTATTCACCGTTCCAAACCCATAAGCTTTTCGTTCATCTTCAGAACACAAATGAAATCTGAGTTTTCTGTCCCTCCATAGACAGCAACGCAACTGACACTCTGACGCTTCAAAAAAAAAAAAATCATAAAGAGATCGTAAAACTAATCCATATGAATTGAGCGGTTTAGTCCACATTTTCTGAAGAGACTCGATCGCTTTATATGATAAACAGATTGAATTTAGGCTTTTATCCACATATAAACATTGATCAGCGAACATAAACAGAAGCTCAACCGAACCTGCTTGACGCGTGAGAACAAACCTTGCAGAAGCTCAAACGTGCTGCGTAACACGAGAATGAACCTCATTGGTTATTGCTGAAGCTCAAATGTGCTGTGTAACACGAGAATGAACCTCATTGGTTCTTGCTGAAGCTCAAATGTGCTGCGTAACACGGGAATGAACCTCATTGGTTCTTGCTGAAGCTCAAACGTGCTGCGTAACACGAGAATGAACCTCATTGGTTCTTGCTGAAGCTCAAATGTGCTGCGTAACACGAGAATGAACCTCATTGGTTCTTGCTGAAGCTCAAACGTGCTGCGTAACACGAGAATGAACCTCATTGGTTCTTGCTGAAGCTCAAATGTGCTGCGTAACACGAGAATGAACCTCATTGGTTCTTGCTGAAGCTCAAATGTGCTGCGTAACACGAGAATGAACCTCATTGGTTCTTGCTGAAGCTCAAATGTGCTGTGTAACACGAGAATGAACCTCATTGGTTCTTGCTGAAGCTCAAATGTGCTGCGTAACACGGGAATGAACCTCATTGGTTCTTGCTGAAGCTCAAACGTGCTGCGTAACACGAGAATGAAGCTCATTGGTTCTTGCTGAAGCTCAAATGTGCTGCGTAACACGAGAATGAACCTCATTGGTTCTTGCTGAAGCTCAAATGTGCTGCGTAACACGGGAATGAACCTCATTGGTTCTTGCTGAAGCTCAAACGTGCTGCGTAACACGAGAATGAACCTCATTGGTTCTTGCTGAAGCTCAAATGTGCTGCGTAACACGAGAATGAACCTCATTGGTTCTTGCTGAAGCTCAAATGTGCTGCGTAACACGAGAATGAACCTCATTGGTTCTTGCTGGAGCTCAAACGTGCTGCGTAACACGAGAATGAAGCTCATTGGTTCTTGCTGAAGCTCAAATGTGCTGCGTAACACGAGAATGAACCTCATTGGTTCTTGCTGAAGCTTAAATGTGCTGCGTAACACGGGAATGAACCTCATTGGTTCTTGCTGAAGCTCAAACGTGCTGCGTAACACGAGAATGAACCTCATTGGTTCTTGCTGAAGCTCAAATGTGCTGCGTAACACGAGAATGAACCTCATTGGTTCTTGCTGAAGCTCAAATGTGCTGCGTAACACGGGAATGAACCTCATTGGTTCTTGCTGAAGCTCAAACGTGCTGCGTAACACGAGAATGAAGCTCATTGGTTCTTGCTGAAGCTCAAATGTGCTGCGTAACACGAGAATGAACCTCATTGGTTCTTGCTGAAGCTCAAATGTGCTGCGTAACACGGGAATGAACCTCATTGGTTCTTGCTGAAGCTCAAACGTGCTGCGTAACACGAGAATGAACCTCATTGGTTCTTGCTGAAGCTCAAACGTGCTGCGTAACACGAGAATGAACCTCATTGGTTCTTGCTGAAGCTCAAATGTGCTGCGTAACACGAGAATGAACCTCATTGGTTCTTGCTGGAGCTCAAACGTGCTGCGTAACGCGAGAATGAACCTCATTGGTTCTCACACGTCAAGCGAACATGCTTGAGCTTCCGTTTACCAGATCTGTGAGTGAGTTGAATAAATGTTTAAATGTGATGTTTAAAATGTTAAATGTTTAAATGTTTAAAACGCTATATAAATAAAGGTGACTTGACTTGACTTAAATGTGCTCTTCAAACGTCATGCCAACATCCCAAGCCAATGCTTGATCACCTGTGAATCGTGAACTTCCCAGCCATTTTTTTTAAAGTCAATGTGCAGTTAAGTCTTATTGGAGTTGACATATATCAAGGTGGCATGGCTGTGAAAACTGTGAATGTGTTTGCTAATTAAAAATAATTGTTTATTGATTATGTTGATAGAACTGTAAGTTAAGTGTCACTGGACCTGTGAAGGCAGATTTAGAGTATGTCAAGCATGATTTTCTATCACAGAATATGAACAAATTCTTGATGCATGCTTTTAGCTGTTGATTAAGGCTGTTGAATTGTTTGGTCCTCTTATTCTGATTCCATCCCCCTCCTCCTGCCCCTGCAGGTCTCTTTTTACATTGTACTTTCGTGTCCAAACCGCAGTATGATTGTGTCATCAGCTTGATTATTAGCAGCAGTCGTTTACCTGCAAAACAACTCGGCAGTTTCATTGTGCTATTGAAGTATTTGTCATTTTGGATTAACTTTATACTTTTTGTTCATACAGAGGAGTTACGGAAACATAGCTGGTCGGGAATCCCTCGTGAGGTCCGGCCAGTCACCTGGAGACTTTTATCGGTAAGTATTTACTAGTACTTTTTCCTTTCCATTGCACGATTCTTATTTAAAAAAAACAGAGGTGAACAACATATTTCAAAACAACATATTTCAATTGGACTGAAATATGTTGTGAGCCATCTTTGAACTCATTTTGCTCACATAATCACCACGACACATGCCCTAACCAATAGTCCACGACTCTGGTGCCTTCCAATATTTTTTGTATTATTATTATTATTATTAATATATCTGACTGTATCTGTTGTCTTCCTAGGGAAAATAACTTTTTGTTAAACATGTTTTAAACTTATCTGAAATGCAGCCAAATTAATATTTAATTCAATGAATACTAGCAAATGATAAATTACTGTTTATTTAATTACAGCATTAAAAATCTTTTTTATCTACTGTAAGCCAGCATCACAAACTTTGCGGTTAAGTTGTGCATGGGGTGCGCAATCATTTTTTATGCTTTTCCGAGGGTATAAAACATCTGTGCCACTTTCAGTTTAATGTGTTATTGATTTGTTTTGCAATATTGGCCTTGCTGAGCACTTAATGTCAGCAGAAATGTGACTGTCATCATAGGAGGGGCAGAGTGGGCTGCTGTGTTATGGCTGTATGTGCGCAGATGTTTGGAGAATGCTTTACAACCCTCATTTGCGTTTCTGGTGCAAACTTACACCGTCAATAACACGCACCTCCGGGCTAAGCTGTACAAGCAAATCCCCACCCCAGCCCAGCTCCTCCAAGCTTTTGCCGCTTCATGCAATGTTTGCTGGGGGATTAGACTAAATAATTCCATATGTACAATGATGCAGAGGTGAATGCGCGCTGAACGAATGGGAGGGTGCCAAATGGAAGCGTTTAGTCTCCGTTTTTCATATTCAAATTGTGATTATAAAGAGCAACATTTGCGTTTTATTTTTGTAGGCCCATTTCACGTTTGTTATGTCAGAATCGCATTGAAAAGCCGTTTTAAGATGATTTAGATTTTTACAATGGAAGTTTAATAGCTGTTACTACAGTTTTGAAGGGGCAATGATGGGGCGAATCCAAACGAGCTGAGTTTGTGCAGTTATTATTCGCCTGAAGCTACAGGCGTGAGCTGAATTGAGAGTGAGATTCTGAATGTACGTTATCATTTGTGTTCAAGCGCTCGGCAACTCTGTGTGTGCTCATTAAAACAAGAGTTGAGAAACAATGGGAGGGGAAGACACTTTAAAAACATCATTTTCAGAAACATGATGGAGAGTCCTGACAAACGATCTAACTGACAGTTCCACGCCTCCACTTCTGCTCTACAAATAGCCTGCACTTGTTGTCTGCTCTTTAGGGACTCGTCTGTAGCTACCAAGTATATTTTAGCAAAATTGCATCCTGCCTGTGTGTTAGTTTAGTAACTACATGATTAGAAGTTTCTTCCCGAGTTCTGGATTTTTTTTTTTTTTACTTTTTGAGGTCTGAGGTCTTCGTAGCTTTCTCTATTCTCAAATGCGCTTCTTAGTTAGTAGTGTTTGCTAAGGCAAGCATCATTGTTATTATTGCTCGTACCTAGAGTTAGGGGTTTGTTCAAATCCCTAACCCAAAATATTAAAATGAAGCAATTACTCTATGCAATGTGAATTACAAATTGTACTCTTTGGACAGTATAACAGGCAACGTTTCGCCCCCACAGACAATATAATAGGGTGAACACATAAAAAACCCATAGACTTACATTGAAGGAGGGACCTGAGTCATCAAAAGGTTAAAGGTTTGGGGTTAGGTTTTTAGTTTTTTGTTTTTTTTTACTTTTATTCCGCAAGGATGCATTAAATCGATCCAAAGTGACCATTATTTTGAGATTTCAAATAAATGCTGTTCTTTTGAAAAAATTTTATCACAGTTTCCACAAAAATATTAAGCAGCACACCTGTTCACAGCATTGATGATAATAATAAATAATTACTGAGCACCAAATCAGCATATTAAAATGATTTCTGAAGGATCATTTGACACCATAGACTGTATAATGGGGTGAACACATAAAAAAAACCATATACTTACAATGAAGGAGGGACCTGAGTCAACAAAAGGTCAAAAGTTTGGGGTTGGTTTTTATTTTATTTTAAATAAATGAATACTTTCATTTAGCAAGGATGCATTAAATTGATCAAAAGTGACCATTATTTTAAGATTTTAAATAAATGCTTTCTTTTAAATATTAAATTCAAAGAATCCTGATTTTTTTTTTAATCACAGTTTCCACAAAAATATTAAGCAGCACACCTGTTTACAGCAGTGATGATGATAATAAATAATTATTGAGCACCAAATCAGCATATTAAAATGATCATTTGACACTAAAGACGAGTAATGATGCTGAAACTTCAGTTTTGCATCACAGGAATAATTGACATTTTAAAATATGTTCAAATAGAAAAGTTAGTTTAATTTTGTAATAATATTTTACATTATTACTGTTTTTACTGTGTTTTTGATCAAATAAATGCAACTTTGGCGATCATAAGAGCCTTATTTCAAAAGCATTAAAAAATATCACCATAACTTTTGCTTTGTATATTTTCAATTGTAATCAGTGTGCAACCGCCTAGCAACCACCCTATCATTCTAGATAATTTGGTTCATGCAATTTGTTTAGTAAGGCACTTTGGTAAGAAAGCATCTGAAAAGAACTTAAATGAAATGTAACTTGCTTGATTTGCTTCTCTTGTTAGAAGGTTTTTGAAAAGAGTCATTTATATGAGCAGCACAAAAAAAAATCCATTAGCATCAAGTCAGTGAGATATATTCTGAAAAGCATTTATTAATCATTTGACTTCAGCACAATAAAGCTCATCTCATTGAAGTGATCCAATATGTAGATTTAAAAAAGACGAAAAGCTCTTTTCAATCTACCGGTAGCTTTTTTTCCACATGGGACTGCGCAGTATTGAACTGAAGTTACATGTTGCTGTTTTTAATATCTTTAGTTTGCATTATTTTTAGGTTATATTTTGGTATAAGGCAAAATACAATTGGAAGACATGGAGAAAGTATGTATACAGCAGTTGTTTTCTCAATATTATTAAATTAGCATTTCCTCTCTCCCTGTGATTCTCTTAGGGCTATCTTCCTGCCAACAGGGAACGCAGGGATCTGGTTCTCCAGAGGAAGAGGGAGGAGTATTTCGGCTTCATCGAGCAGTATTACCACTCCAGAACAGATGATAACCACAGAGACACATACAGACAGGTAAAACTCAATAGAGGGTATGCACGTGACGTCACCGTCGGCCGAAGTGACTGCGGTTACGCCCACTGAGTGGCAAAAAGACTGAGTGGCAGCATTGGTTTTCAGCGAGAATGCCGTGAGAAACACACAAAACACATCTAAAATGGGAAAAGGCTTTGAGATCGACTGCACAAATAGATTTGGCAAGAAATCTGAGGTATATTTTTACAGACTGCTGAAAGCTACAGAAAAGAGAAGCAAATGGATCGCTGCATTTCCCAGAAACAACTGGACTGTGAGATATACTGTACGAAATGTGGATTTACTGTTATCATTTTGTCAATATGTTGAATTTTGGGGTAAAATCATTCCTTATATATTGTATTAAACTATTTAAACTGTCTGATAGCCGTTTGTTTTACTCAAGTTTTCGCAGTTTCCCCTATTAACTCCAGTTATGCAGCAGATCTTTTGCCACTCAGTCCGGCTGAATAGCATGTTCTGGCAGGAAAGTGACGTCAATGCATACCCTCAATACATAAAAATTGGGTAGAGTTGGTTGAAATTGACCGTTCTGACTTGTGCATAATTTCCATGATTAATACCTTTATCAGTCCACTGGAAAACAGTGTTGCTTACAAAGCAGGCTTGAGTAACAGAATACTTGAAACAGCGTTACATAATTAAAGAGACAATTTAACGCAATTCTGTTATTATTCTGAAGAACATTTAAATATTCGAAGATTTAAATGTTTTTTGAGATCTTCACATTCGGTAATGTAGATGTTTCAGAGTGTTTTGGGAAAAGTTTTGCTGAAACATTTTGGAGTTCATTGTGTTGTACATTATTATGTTTAATGTCTCTGTACCACATCATTGTGTCAATTACTACAGACAGTATTTGTACAAATCCCCTGGTGCATTTAGACAGGAAATGCATTGTCTGTGCTAATAGACAGCATGTCAGACATGCCGTCCTTAAATATTCTGGGTTGCTTTCAACAAAATGTCTGTTTAAATCCAGGTATCATAATACACAGGTGTATGCTGATTTCACCCTTTCGCAAGATGTCCATTTCAGTGGAAAAGGATCTTGTAAAATGCGACATTTGTAAGATTACAGACATTACTGTATGTTTTTAAATTCCAAAGTTTATTGTGAAATTCCAGTTCATTTTGCTATTAAAGGGCTAGCTACTCTTAGTGTCCATACATCCCTCAAAAACACATCTGGTTTGTTTCTTGTAAACGTTTGAGTTAAACAAGCTTCATTTTACAGGGCTTCCTTAAAGGGAAGTAAAGTTCACCCAGAAATGAAAATTCACCCTCATGTCATTCCAAACCTGTATGACTTTCTGTCTTCTGTGGAACAAAAGAAGATATTTTGAAGAATGTTGGTAACCAAATGGTTTTGGTTCCCATTGACTTCCATTGCATGGACAAACATCCAGTTCAGTTCAATTCAGTTTGGTTACCAACATTCTTCAAAATATATTCTATGTTCCAAAGAAGAAAGAAAGTCTTGCATGTTTGGAAGAGTAATTGATGACAGAATTTTTCATTTTTGGGTGAACTATCCCTTTAAGACAGACTAGTTGATTTTGAAAAACCCTGAAAAACAATTAAATGTTTTTGGTTTGTTAGATTTTTTTCTTTTAGTGTTTTTGAAAAGTTTCCTATGCTCACCAATGATGCATTCATTTGATCAAAATACAGTATAAACAGTAATATTGTGAAATATGACCATTTTCTATTATAATATATATTCATTTGTTGGCAAAGCTGAATTTTCAGCATCATTACTCCAGTCTTCAGTGTCACATGATCCTCCAGAAATCATTCTAATATTATGATTTGCTGCTCAAGAAACATTTCCTATTATCAATGTTGAAAACAGATGTGCTGCCTACTATTTTTTGGGAAACTGATCGTTTTTTCTTTTTCAGGATTCTGATTAAATAGAAATTTCAAAAGAAAAGCATTTATTTGAAATAGAAATCTTTTGTAACATTATAAAAGTATAATGTATACTTCCTGAATAAAAGTATTAATTTCTTTAAAGAAAAAAATCTTGGTAACTTGATAATCTTCCCTATGAACTAGTTGCTTATTAGCATGCATATTACTAGGATATTGGCAGTTTATTAATGCTTTATTCTGCATGATCATATTCAACATCCCTTAATCCTACCCAATTCCTAAACTTAACACTACCTTACTAACTATTAATAAGCAGTAATTAGGAGTTTGAGGCAAAAGTCGTCGTTAATAGTTAGTTCATGTAGTGAGAATTGGACCCTAAAATAAAGTCTGACCAAAATCTTTTAAATGGAAGTGTAGATTGGCACATCACTGCTAATTATTTCTAACTTGTGATTTAGCAGATGCTTCAATCCATTACTAGAACAATCCCCCTTGGAGCAACCTGGGGTTACGTGTCTTACTCAGAGGCACAATGATCTTAATTCACTCATCAATCCTTGCTGAGTTTGAACAAACAACCTTTATTCCTGTAAGCCCAGGGGCTTTGTGTATAATACTTGCATATATTTCATCCTAGAGGTCTGGATGATACATTAATGAATCGAACAGATCCCATTCTCTTCAACTCACAGACGCTTTTGCAGAGATTAAGATTATCAGTGAATAGTACTGTAAATTTTAGTCTGTTCCTCACACAAAGCTGTCACATGACTTCAGAAGACTCATAATGCAGTGCACAAGTCGTATAAACAATATTTAGGAGACTTTTGCACCTTTTCTTTGAAACTTAAACATATTAGATTTGATTTTTGGATGAACTATCCCTTCAACCACTAGGCTACACCAGACGCCACTTTGTTGAGGAACTCTGTCGTCTCTGTAGTGAGTCAAGGTTACACCAGCTTCCAGAAAGCTATAGAAGTAATACACCCAGATTTTGTTCTGTGTGTTATTAATGGGGGAGGGGGGCCGAGATCAATATTCTTATGGGCTGTAAAACTCAGGTTAATGGTGCAGGACTGGTAGTCGATTGCTATGCGCTGCCTTCTCTCCTCTCTTGTCCGGTTCCTCAGGGCTTGCTGGCTCCCAGCCCCTCATTTCATCTACTGCAATACAAATCGGACACAGACCTTTAAAAGGATTTATGTGGTCGTACAGAACCGTTGGACTGGCCCCTGGCTGTCTGGGCAGAAACACTAAATGACCTTTTAGTGTGGTCACAGTCTGAGAGGGCGAGGAATGGCGGTGAATACAAGCAAACTGGACTTCGGTGGCCTTCGAGTGACCTGCATTACTACAAAGCCATTTCGTCCAACATATGAGGAAGCGGGAAGAAAATAAAAGGGAACCAGATGAAAGAGAAGGGTCGCCACCTGTATGTGCGACTGGACGCAGTGCTGTCCATTTTCAAAGTGAATTCATGCAGGTTTTGTGTGTAGCTTGTTACGAAACCAGATCAATAGCGTGTGCAGTTTGGACCCTGATGGTTTCCCTCCATTTACTGGAAAGGAAAAAGCACATATAACTCAATTTAGTGCTCTTGGGGCATATTGATTTAATCTCTTATTTTTTCTTTCCCCAGGTCACCTGTACTTATGACACTCCAAGTCGGTAACTGGTTTGTGTGGGTGTGCATTGGAGTTTACCTGAATATACCTGTGTGTGTCTTTCCATAGATTCACATCGATATCCCGAGGACGAACCCTTTGATTCCTTTGTTCCAGCAGCCGCTGGTGCAGGAGGTATGTGATATTCTCTGGCGCCAACACCTGAGTATCGTTGCACACCGCACCTGTGTCAGACCCTCCAGGGTCATACAGACGCTCCGATGTCACACAGCAGGCACTACACACTTAATGTAATCGCATAGATAAGAGAGTGAGTCACACAATCATGACCATGTCATATTTTAACTCGAAATCAAAAGAAAATAAAGAAGGGTAAGCCTATTTTTAGGACTATTAAGGTTTTTTTTTTTTTGCATTGTGACAATTGTTTGCAAGACAATTAAGACACATTTCCCCCAAATTACCATTACCATAATGCATCTAATGCAGCTTTTCTTTCCTAATTCCCTTTTTTCTCTGGTGATTCTCAATACATTCTAATTACTGTAATATGACAAGCTCTTCTTAAATTGGCATAAATGGCCATACATCTTTGTTTAAATGCATTGCAGCAAGCACATTTTCTTCTAGTTCTCATGTAAATAATGTCTTGGTGTGAAATATGACCAATTAAATTCTGCAACAAGTCAAAATTTAGACAAAGACATATTCTTGAAAAGCTTCAAGAGATTCACTCAAGGAAAAAGCTTAGTGTTCTGGATCAGTGAATATTTGTACTTTTTTGGTTTGTTTATAATCATAGTTTTTGGTTTAGTCCTTAAAATTTGTCAATATTAATCATGATTTGATAATTTACTTAAAAAATATTTATACATATGTATGTGGAAATATTTGAGTAAAAATATACAGTATTTTTTTTTTGCAGTTCAGTTATTTTGTGAAGCTGTTCAAGTTTACCAGTGTTTAGCTCTTTCACTCAAACTTTTTGGCAATTTTTTTTTTTCCAGATGCATAATCTGTCTTGTTATAATTCTGTAAAAAAACAATTTTTTCAGTAAATCCGCTGATGATATTAACTGTTCTGGATGGATGGGTTGCTTGCAGCCACCTGAGCTTTGTGTCATTTAATGCTTACCAGCAGGGGGTGCTGTGGTGTTTTTAACTTGTTAGAGAAGTGTACAACACTTGTGTAACCCATAAACAAGGAACAGAGCACTTGAAATGCAGCTGCGTTTGGAAATGCAAGCTTCCAAAATGAGTTTACCTGTTGGTCTGTCAAGTGTGAATTAAGCAGCATCAATTGCTAAAAGTCTACACAACAATCACAGTTCTTATGAGAAATGTTTTGTGAGAATCATGGAAATCAATTGTCTTGTTTTTCAGGTGTTTGAGCGGATTCTGTTCATCTGGGCCATCCGCCACCCCGCTAGTGGATACGTGCAGGGCATTAACGACCTGGTCACACCTTTTTTTGTGGTCTTCCTCTCTGAATTCGTTGGTAAGCGTTTAATAACCTTCCACATGGATCACTTGGTCCACTTGACTGATTCTTCACCTTTCTGAATCTGTCCTTTTGGTTGAGCACATCAGTTCAGTTTGCTCCGCTAATATGTCAGAGTCAGTGAGATGCAGACAGGACAGTATCTGACAGATGATGTTGGAAAAGGGTTGTATAAGTGTAAACAAACTGACAATATCCCGTTGAAAATGTCAAACACAAAAATACAGAATATCAATTATCTTTGAAAGAAACTCTGAAAGATAGACAGTGGGTGAGAGAGAAATGGTGAAAGAGGGAGACGGATGGAGAGAGTGACGGACAGAAAGAAAGGGAAATGGGAAGAAGACAGAGAGAGAGAGAGAGAGAGAGAGAGAGACAGTTTGATAGACAAGGAATTAGACAGAGAGAAAAAACACAGGGACAGACACATAGGGAGAGAGGAAGACAGGAGAGATGGATAAATGGATAGAACGATCATTTGATCTATCATTCTATGTGTCTGATATTCTATCTATCGCTCTATGTGTCGTTTGACTGTTCTATCTATCGGTCTATCTGTTTTCTTGGAGCAGTAGATGATAGATGGATATGCGTTAGATTATATTAGAGATGGATAGACAGACACACAGACAAAGGGACAGATGGAGAAAGACAGATAAAGTCAGACAGACAGCTAGGGAAATAGGCTCTCCAGCTCTTGTCCTCATTGCTATTCTCCCTCCACCCGGCAGCTTTCCCCTCCCTTCCTTATTTATTTCCTGTCCTCTCATGTGAAGGTTAATTACTTATGGATAGTTAAGGATTACAGAAGAACAATAGGAGGCTCATTGATCTCTCTGGTGTGCCGCTGCTGCAATGTCACCAGTGCAAACACCAGGACATACCCACAGATTACCTGGATCACCAATCGATTTCTCTTTTTCTCCCCTGTCTCTCTCTCTCTCTCTCTCTGGCTGTCTACCTCGCCCACCACTCTCTCTGTCTTTTCCTCATCCCTCTGTTTCTCCCCAAAGCTCATTTAGCAAAAAGCAGATTTTTCATACCCGCGCTTTCGTGTCATTCTGCAGGGCCTTTCAATCTCTAATTTGTTTGCGGGCCATGTGAATATGTGTGTGCGTTTGGGATTCGCCGTGTGTATGAGCGAGCGACTCAATGCCGCAGGTTGAATGAGACGCATTGATCGGCTGGATTTAAGTGTTTACAGAGGCTTGCGAGGGTGCCGAGCACACGGTGGGGGGCTCGACCCGCCGATCGATGCATCTGAACGAACTTCATGATCCCAACATGCTGCCAGCGGGAGATAAAAGAGCGGGGTTAGCGCCCTCCCTCCGCCCCGGGTTTCACCCCCGCCATCGAGACCGCGGGGCAAACGCGTCTGGGTTCACGGGCGCTAACTGCTTCGTCTGCTCTCAAACGCAGCGTTTTGCCAACTTTCGCTGCGCTGTTTCTCTTGGCCGGCACGCCTCAGTGGCTTTCTAGGGCTCCTTTGCGAGCTTTTTAGCTTTCTGCTGAGACCGTCCTCTGAGAAGGCGAGAGAGAGAGACTGCATAGGAGAATATTGGCGCTTCACATTTAGCTCAATATCAGCGAGTAGCGTTTTAAAGAGTAGCCGCCAGGAAGGAGAGTCACGGCGCCCTTCGGTTTAAAGTGTTGGTATTGATGCGCCGAAGAATTTGAAGTGGAGGGACGAGACAAAGAGAGGAGGGAATATTCTCAAAGGGTAAATCATCACATTTACCCTGACAGACAAAGAGGACAGCGGGGAAATCTCCTCTGTAAAGCATCAATGCCCTGTCTCACTCACTCTCCCTCACACACACATTCGCTGCTTTTTATTACTGAAGAAGGGTGTGTGATATTCTCACCTTATTATTTATTGTCTTCCTGTTTTTTTGAACCGTTATTTGCTCCATCGCTGTGCATATTTCGGATTAGATGGGTGGTCTGGGTGGGAAAAGTTTGTGGTTTGGTGGTCGTGTTGCTGAATCTGAGCAACAAGCCACAGGAGGGTAAAGGCTTTTGTGGCTTGAAAATGTTCATCAAAAAATGTAATTCATTAATAAAAAAGCAGTAATATAGTTTATAAACTGTAGGCTGTTTATAGTTGTCAAGCAACATGACTCTTTAAAGGTATTGTTCACCCAAAAATGAAAATTCTGTCATTCCAAACCATTCCAGTCACTGAGTGAATCAGAGAATTAATGGAATTCTTTCCATGCAATTGGCACCTGGAGCTTTTTAAGCTTGAAAAAAGCACAAAGTAGTCCATGTCTTATGCATTAAATTCTAAGTAATTTGATAGCTTTGTGATTTTATTCGCAGAAAATCTTCTCCTCCAGTGGTTGTGACCGGATCATTAAATCAGTGAATTGAGATTGGTCTGGATTTGTGATTTGTGAATGAATCAGCTGATTCATCAATTGGTTACGAATCAGACATTGCTACTTCTCTCATTAACATGCCAAGTAAAACTAGGGTGGATGTCAAGATTCAATTAAGTATTCAATTTACAATTTTACATGGCTTCAAAAGATTTAAATATGGTGTCATATTAACAACTTTTATTAGACTTTCATGTTGATTTTGCATCTTTTTTTTTTAAGCTTAAGAGTTCCAGTCCTGTTGTTTTCCACTGAAAAAAAAGAAAGTCATACGAGTTTGGAATGAGAAAATTATGGTTTTTGGGTGAACTATTCCTTTCATAAAGAATTCAATTGATGTGCGGTCACCAGGTGTGCGTCTGTCGGCATATTTCATAAACCGCTTTGAACATGGCTCATCCAATCCGCTTTTAGAGTCTGAGCTACATAATATGGATCATTTAATGCTCAAACTGAGATATGGAGGAATGAACTGAATGAGCTATGATTTGTTTCCTGAGTTGCAGACTTCACTTATGATTATCGAATTATCTCTCCGGTCTCTCATACTCACACACATACATACATGGCACAATAACCCCCTTTTTCCCCACAGGGTCAGAGAACAAGGTGGCAAAGCCTCTCTTTGTGCCACAAACAGGATTTCTCCTGCATTCTGTAAAGCCGCTTTATGCAGCAGCACTGTGTGTGTGTGTGTGTGTGTGTGTGTCCGAAGCTTTGGAGTGATGTGGAAATGTGGAGGGCTAAATGGATCAGGAATCTCTCCAGTGCTGTGGCCAGTGACATATGGCCAGGCCCATGACCGGCAGGGCACTCCATGCTTCATTTGTGGTCAAAGAGGGCTATTTACTTTGCTTTTCCAGCTTTTTCCCCCCCTGCCAGCTCTTTCCTGTCGTTCTCCATCCGTCTTTTTTTACTCGAATCCCATCCGGGCTCTCACTCGGCCCCCATCAGCTGTTCCTCCTGCTGCAATGCAGAGGTTTACTGACAGTTTCCTCTCTGAGAGTTTGAGCAGAGAGGTTTTTGCCATTCCTCTACCTGCTTACCCCTCTGATTCACATATACAGTGGGGAAAATAATTATTTGATCCCCTGCTGGTTTAGTAAGTTTGCCCACTTACAAAGAAATGAAGGCTCTATCATTTTTATGGTAGGTTTATTTGAATGGCTAGAGACAGAATATCAACCAAAAAATCCAAAGAAAACACATTATATAAAGGTTATAAATTGATTTGCATTTCAGTAAGTAAAAAAAGTTTTTGATCCCCAAGTAAAACATGACTTTATACTTGGTGGAGAAACCCTTGTTGGCAAGCACAGAGGCAAGATATTTTTTTGTAGTTGGTCACCAGGTGTGCACATCTCAGGAGGGATTTTGGTCCACTCCTCTTTGCAGATCCTCTCTAAATCCTTAAGTTTTCTTAGCTGTCGTTAAGCAACTCAAAGTTTCAGCTCCCTCCACAGATTTTCTATAGGATTAAGGTCTGGAGACTGGCTAGGCCACTCAAAGACCTTAATGTGCTGCTTCTTGAGCCACTCCTTTGTTGCCTTGGTGGTATGTTTTGGGTTATTGTCATGCTGGAAGACCCATCCACGACCCATCTTCAGTGTTCTGGCTGAGGGAAGGAGGTTCTCGTCCAAGATTTTACGGTACATGGCCCCGTCCATCAGCCCCTCAATACGGTGAAGTCGTACTGTACCCTTAGCAGAGAAACAGCCCCAGAGCATGTAGGGATGGTGTTCTTGGGGTCATAGTCAGCATTTCTCTCCCTCCAAACATGGCAGGTTGAGTTGATGCCAAAGAGCTCAATTTTGGTCTCATCTGACCACAGCACTTTCTCCCAAGCCCTCTCTGAATCATTTAGATGTCCATTGAGCAGGGGGACCTTGCGGGCGCTGCAGGATTTCAATCCAGGGTGTTGACAATGGTTTGCTTGGGGACTGTGGTCCCAACTGCCTTGAGATCATTTACAAGCTCCTCCCGTGTAGTTCTGGGCTGATCCCTCACTTTTCTCATGATCATCCTTACCCCATGAGGCGAGATCTCGCATGGAGCTCCAGACTGAGGGCGATTGATGGTTATTTTGTATTTGTTCCATTTCCAAATAATCGTCTTGTAGCCCATTCAAGCCTTGTGCAGGTCTCCTATCTTGTCCTTGACATCCTATGACAGCTCTTTGGTCTTGCCCACGGTGGTGGAGAGGTTGGAATGGAAGAGACTGATTCTGTGGACAGGTATCTTTTTCTACACATAACGAGCTGACATTAGGAGTACTTCCTTAAAGCGACATGGCTAATCTGTGTTTCACATGGGCACATAACTAATCTGTGGGAGGCAGAATTCTTGCTGGTTGGTAGGGGATCAAATACTTATTTCACTTGATCAAATGCTAATCAATTAATAACTTTTTTCTGGATTTTTTGGTTGATATTCTGTCTCTATCTGTTAAAATAAACCTACCATAAAAATTAAAGACACTTCATTTCTTTGTAAGTTGGCAATCAGCAGGGGATCAAATCATTTTCCCCACTGTATGGGCCACATTCATTAAACACGAATTTCTGTGTAAATTGTAAAACCGTTCCTATGCAAAACTAATCATTACTTTTTATTTTTATTTTTTTTATTAACAGACTCCATGATTAACTCATTATAATTTTCAATTAAAAAAAAATGAACGGCGTATTTTTATGTCTCAAAATATTTCATTTTTATTATAATAGTTGTTGTTGAAAAACTATAATAAGTTTTCTTTGGATATTAAAACAAGTTGCAACAATTTATTTTTAATTTGCAACCTCATCTTTATCCAGTTAGATAATGTGTTCTTTTGGAGATTTAAATCAGCTAATTTTTCAACAGCAATGTTTTATCACAGAAAACCACATGCTTAAAGGGATAGTTCTGTCATCATTTACTCAGCCTCAAGTTGTTCCAAACCTGTATAAAGTTATTTCTTCTGCTGAATACAAAAGAAGATATTTTGAAGAATACGGGTAACCAAACAGTTGATGGGCCCCATTGACTTCTATAGTATGGGGTGGAAAAATACTATAGAAGTCAATGGGGCCCATCAACTGTTTGGTTACAAACATTCCTCAAAATATATTTTGTGTTCAGCAGAAGAAAGAAAATCATACAGGTTTGGAACAACTTGAGGGTGAGTAAATGATGACAGAATTTTCATTTTTGGGTGAACTATCCCTTTAAGTTCGCATGGCATAAAAACATGTACATGATCAACAAACATAAGGTGTAGTTAACAAGTCTGTTATTTTTTTTGCACTTTTACAATTGCATTTGGTAAGGCTAGTGGCATAGTTACACACTCACCCAAAAATGAAAAACACCCAAAAAATACAAATACAGGTTTGGGGATTTTTCAGAAATCATTCTAAAATGCTGATTTGCTGCTCAAGAAACATTTCTAATTATTATTAATGTTGAAAGCCATTGTGCAGTTTAATATTTTTGTGAAAACCTTGATGCATTTTTTCAGGATTCTTCAATGAATAGAAATTTCAAAAGAACAGCATTTGTTTGAAATCAAAATCTTTTGTAACATTATAAATATCTTCACTGTCCATTTTGATGCATCCATTCCTTGCTGAATAATTTGTATAGAAAAATTCTTACCGACCCCAAACTTTTGAACAGTAGTGTACATACTTTTATTGTCAAGTAGATGGGTATGCACCAATATGAGAATTTTAGCCGATACCGATAACCAAAAAATATTTATTTGAAAGCTGATAACTGATATATTGGCCGATAAATCTAAATTCAAATTTGTATAGAATTTGTGAGAGCCTGATTACAAAAACAAAACTCTTACCATTTAAAAGCCTTGTCCCAAGCACACAATTATAATGTTCTCATTATAATTTTATGGAGCCGATATGACAGACTTGCATTGCATCTGAAGTGTCTCAGCTGAAGGAAATGATCCATTATTTATTGGCTTTAATATATCGGCCACATTTTGGCTGATAACATTAAAAATGAACACACATCGACCGATACCTATATTGTGGCCGATATATCGTGCATCCCTAGTAGAAGTATGTAAATAGGGGTATAGCCTAATGCTGTTTACAGTCAGTTTGATTTTGTCTCTAACAACAGACCTCAGCCGCAGTTGTCCATATGGTCTTCAGCACGTGTTGATTTGCAGCTTCAGTTGAGTATCTACGGTCGTTGGAGAGCATGTATTCTTCATTGTGTCTTCGACCTTGGATCTGACCTTCTTCTTATCTATATTTCAGCCCTTATGTACTGCAATAAGTCGCGTGATTGACTGAATTGCTTTGGCGATGCGCAAGCTGCATGCAAACATGCCTAGAGCGCTCTCTCTCTCTCTTTCTCTCCTTCTCTTTACTCAGTGCTTCATCAAAATAGCTCCTTGTTCTTCCTCCCCCTCCCATCCTTATTAAGAAAAGAGGAAGAGAGAGAGATCAAGAGATGGAGGACTACATTAGTTGTGCGGTGGGTGGGTGAGTGGAGTGGCACACAGAAGTCTTTTCCAGCCAGGTCTGGCTCTCTGGGGCATAATGTGTGTATCAGCATCATTTAGCACATACTGTTTAAAGAGTCGGGAAAGGTCATGGCTGCGAGGGGAAGCCTGCGGAGGGAGGGAGGGAGGGAGGGAGAGGGGCGAGTTGATGAATGTGTTGAATAAAGAATGCAGTTTGCCGGCTAATGATCTAATGGCTTCGTGGTGTCTGTGCATACGATACACGACACACCAGAACTGCTTTCGCCCGCAAGAAAACAAAGACTGCTGAGAACACCTGCAGCATGTGTGCTGGTTCCATCTGCTGGTGACCCAACATTAATGTGTGTGTGTGTGTGTGTGTGTTTTGTGTGTATTCTTTTTCATAGAGGAAGATGTGGAAAATTTTGAAATGGCAAGCTTACCACTGGATACGCAACGAAACATCGAAGCCGACAGCTTTTGGTGCATGAGCAAATTGCTGGATGGGATACAGGTATTTGATCCACTCAAGGTTTATGGTAGATGTCATAACCATCTTTCTCCAATGTCCATTCAAAAGTAGCATTCATTCTGGTAACTTATTTGGACATTGGCATTTAAAAATGTTCTGCTTTGCACAAGCAGTGTATAAATCCTAACTATTTCATTTTACCTAGAAGAAAATGACAAACTTCTTCTTCCTCTTCTTCTTCCTCATCCTCCTCTTCTTCTTCTTCCTCTTCTTTTTCTTCGTCGTCTTCCGCTTCTTCCTCTTCCTTGTCATCCTCTTCTTTTTCCTTCTCTTCTTATTATTCTTCTCTGCCCTCTTCTCCTTCTTAACAATAATAATACAACTACTATTAATAATAATCTTTTATTTTTGTTAGTAAATAAAATGTATATACAAATTATTTCATTCATTCTGTCATCTTTTTTATTCTTTGTTCTTATTCCTCTTATTTCCTTAGAATCATATTACTTTTTAATAACAATAACAACCTTTTTACTGTTTTTATTTCACTTTATTCAAAGTTGGCAAACTTCATAATATATCAAATCATTTTTTGTTGGTATTACTGTTAATATTTATCATTATAATAAATATATAATACTGTTAATTACTGTTAAAAATGTATATATTTTTTAATGAATTTTATATATAGGTTTGTTCATTCATATCGCCATTGTCTGTCTTATTCTTATTCCTCTATATTTCTTAAAGTGCCCCTATTATGCTATTTTAAAGTTTCCTAATGTTGTTTTGGAGTCTCTTACAACAGGTTTACATGCATCAAAAGTCAAAAAACTGTTTCATTTTCTCATAATATACATTTGCACATCACCACATTTTTAATGATTCTCAAACGACTCAGATGAATCAATCTATCTAAATCCCTCCTTTCCGCGAGCTGCTCTGCTCTGATTGGCCAGACAGCTCAGTCTGTTGTGATTGGTCTACCGTGTACAGCGCGCGTCGAAAACAAAAATGCCCATTGCCATAACATTGTCTGCGCTGCATGTCCTGAGGCTTCATACACTGTAAACTAAACACAGTATTGAACAATGACGTCGATTTTACCGTATCAATCCGAGCGCGAGTCCAATAATGAAACACTGGAACTAGTTATTCAACCCGAACTCGAGCAGGACGTTTCTCAGTGATACGCTACTTAGTTTGAGGGACATTATGAGATGTTGCAACTGTAATTCCTCACCATCAGCATTAACAAGTGCATGTCCATCAACAAACCGATTATTTTACTTGTACTAATTTATTTACCATGTATTTTTCTCATTTATTGCGGTGAACACGTGGAAACTGTATCGATAACAGTGCATACATTAACCGAGCTCTAGCGTGAATGACTGATGAATCATAAACGTTGGTAAAACAAATCTTGCTCCATGCTTCATATTTCCTCAAAGTAGTGAGAACGACAGACAATCTGCATTAATAGACAGTTTTAGGTAATAGTGGCCCACAGCTGATCAGCAGAAGTATTTCAGTAAGACAGTAATAATGTGAGTTAGCCAGAAGCAGGAGACCAACACAATATAAAACTCAAAACTAAGTATTTTGAAAACCATCTTTCAAGAGCAAGCGGTTTGCGAATCCTGCATTGAACTCCGAGATTTGAGAAGCTGTCGTCAGTAAAATAAAGGGAACACCGCAAAAGTTTAGGTTTATACTGCTGTGATATCGTGGTAAAGATGTTTTTTTACCACTGATTCTTCACATGCTCGTCCTTGGGCAGTGAAAAAAAACTGGCTTTACGTTACATTGTAGAGCACAGCGCCGTCTTCTCGACATGAGACGGTCCAGTATCCACAGGAATCAGCTGCCAGTTTGAGGTTCAGGTTTTCCTTGGTGTCTGCGCGCGCAATAAGTGGGCGGGCAATATGCTAATGTTTCGTCTTGACGTCACAACGAAACGGCTTATGACTCGTTTGAAAACCGATTCATTCATTGACTCAGTCGACTCTTACTTTTGAAAGACAATAACTTTACATACGGTGCACTTTCAGATTTAAAACTTTGCAGGATGTTTTCATTCACTTAGAGCTATGTTACACACTACATGAAAGGTCATTTTTCAAAAATCCATAATAGGGGCACTTTAATAACATTTCTTATAATAATAATAATTGTTGATGTTGTTGTTATTATTATTATTATTAATAACTATTTTATCGTATATTTTATTATTTTATTTTAAAAAGCAAAATTCAAATCACGTACTTCCATCATGCATCAGCCAAGCTACTGCAATTAAGACGGTAATGATCATTTCTCCAGGGATTCTCTGTCAATCTGCAGTTCTCTTAGGACAGTATCGCTTCTGTGTCTTTTTATTTCAACTAAACCCTGTAGTGGTCATCCTGTCCTTTTGCTCTTTTCCAAAAGCCAGAGACCAGTGGAATACAATGCAATAAAAAAAGACTCTCTGACGGCCCCAAAAAAAAAGGCACAGACTTTGTTGTGCTTAAGCCCCAGAGGATAAGGCACTTACCCGCCTGGGGGAGAGAGACATGAAATACTTGGAGAGGAAGTTGAAGCTAGGACGTTTAAGCTAGGGGGATTCAGATCCTTGGCTGGCATTCCCTTGAGAAAGGCCCTCTGTTAGAGAGAGACGAGCGTGTCAGGGCACTCATCTGCAGGCGGGAGCAAGGGTCAGATGCAGGCCACAGTCAGGTTGTCCCGTGGGCCGCTCTGTGTTGTGTTCATTGGCTGAGTGGAGCCGAGCTGAAGGGCAGAACGCGCGCATGGATCAGAACACAGAATGTGTCTTCCCATGCAGTCACCCCCCCCCCCCGGGCTTGAACACGAGCCGCACGCAGCACAGCAGATGGCCACTGGCCCTTAATGACCCACAAGGGAAGAGGAACAGAGGCTGAAAACTACATTAGTTATAAATAACAATAACTATAATGCTATAGCACCCTCGTTTCCCTCAGTTTATCAGCTGGTAACAAGCCACGGATCTCTGACAGACCCTTTGTTATATTATATTATCACAATCTGATGCTGACATTATCGCACAATTAGCCTGATGAATATTCTAAATGTGTTTTCACAAGCCGTTTATAAATCCTAAATATTTCAGTTATTATTGTAGGTTTCTTTTCTTTTTGCTATTTTATCATTTTATTTATTTCTATTAAATTGTTAAAAAAAAATTAAGGGCTTTTAAAAGCATAAAATTAATTGAATTTTTAACAGGGTTTTATTAAAAAAAATTACCACGTAGAATATAAATTACCTTTCCATAACACTATCCACAATGATTTTCATGTGTAGGTCAAAGTGGCACATGATGCTTGCTTTAAAGGGGTCATATAATGCCATTTTTGTACAAGCTAGTATGATTCTTTAGGGTCTAAATTAACAGTTTGTAATATACTTTAATTAAAAATTCTCATTAGTATTGTAAGAAAACACTTATTTTACCTGGTCAAAAACAGCTCTGTTTTCAGCACGCCGTTTCAGTGCATATGACTTTAAATGATAATGAGCTTTGCTCACTCCGCTTCTCTGTTCTGTGCGTACACCGTTTGTAACACAATAACACAATAACCATAACGCTGTTCATTATAAACGTGGGATTATGAATTATATTGAGAACGTCGTACATAGAAAACATGCCGTAATGTACCCTGACTGTAAACCTTAGACGCATTCATGGTGAAGCGTGCAGCTAGCGATTTGCAAAGATTAATATATTAATATAAAGTTTAATAAAACGTCACACTCACTTCAGTTCTTCTGGACGTTCAGCAGGAACACGAATATCTGGTACCGATCCTTTTTTCATGAGCAGCTTCTTAGCAAAACCAGCTTTATACTGACCCTCCTTTATAAAGCAGTCTGGTGAGAAATGATTCGCGCAAACATGAAAGCATTGACGTTGCTCGTGGGGAATATTCCCTTCGAAAACAAACTCAGCCACTGTGTCTTTAGTTGTTCGGATTTAGGAACATTAAAATGACTGCTGTGTTCGTTATGACGCCATTCTGCTCATAGACAGCTCCAGCATATCAACAATGACTGCGCCGGTCCGCGAGGACTATGATTGACAGCTCCCTCACGAGCGAGGGCGGGTCTGTGTTGAAACGCTGCTGTCAATCAACAATCGTGGGAGGGACTTCGGTTTTATTGACGTCACAAAAATGAACGGCTCAATTTGAGGCAGGGGAAAACATATAAGGAGATTAAAACAAAAACACTGGATGGATTTTTATCATTATACGATGGTTGTGTACAGGCACTGCCAACACACATTTCAGTACAATCAACTTGTAAAAGTGCAAGTATCATTATATGACCCCTTTAAGCGATTGAAGCGCTGAGACAAGTCATGTGAAAGAGCCTTAACGAGATGACAAAATAATTATTCCATGTTCTAAACATGGAATAATTATGTTATTATTCCATGTATTTTATAATTATGTTATAAAAAAAACCTCCGTTTTTCTCCATCAGGACAACTACACGTTCGCCCAGCCTGGCATTCAGATTAAAGTGAAGGCGCTGGAAGAGCTCGTCAGCAGAATAGATGGTAAGATCATGTTCACAAACACATTATCTACCAATTCCTTTCACTCTGCGTTGAATTAAAGAAATAGTTCGCACAAAAATTAAAATAGAATTTTTTTCTTTTAAACTGAATCTCAGAAACTACAAAAATATTAATTTGCCCCTGATCACTGTATCCTTTCATTGTGTGAAAAGAGCTGCATGAACATTATTTCATGTTTCTCATTTTGCATTCCTACAGAAGAAAGAATTTTCAATGACATGAGAATGAGTAAATGATTACAAAATTATAACGTTTGGTTTAAATGGTTCTTTAGCATTGTTTGAGGCAGTTGGTCCTGGCGTGGTTGTACCTAGGGTTACAAGCAGGTTACCTTTGAAGCTGCTTGAAAGATAGAAATCACACACTATTGTTCAATTGTGACATTAAACTTGCAGTCATCTACTTCGGGCCCAATCGTGTGCTTTTTGAGACAAATGCCCTCACAAGCTTCAGCGCAAATAACATGTCATGACTGCCAGAACAAAATGGCAGTGTCTGGAGTCCCTTAAACGATCCCATCTATTTTGCCCTTTGCCCTCCAGAACGAGGTGAACTCTTTTTTTTTTTCTTGTCTTTTTTTTTTAGCCATAAATAGCAGTGCAAAATGCTCAAAACAACAAGGTGTTGTTTTTCTGCCAGGGTGCGATCTTGTTCATCGCCTTGGAAAAGACTTGTTTTCCCAAGGTGTTGGCCGTTTCTGTTTCTTGGAATCACACGTTTCCGTTATGCCACTAGTCCGCCTCTGTTTTTTTTCTGTCAGAGTGTTTATACCATCTGGATGCCTTACTCCCCTGTTCAGTGTGTTTGGTGTGATAAGCTGAACAGCCCACACTGAAACTCTTGGTGAGAGCCGCCGCGCGCCTCTTTCCCATCAATCAGCATCCACGAGCACCGTGAGCAATAGCAGACCCCACAGTCTCGCCGGGGAGCACAGGAGAGAAATCAATTCCCCATAAGCCCTTGCGATTAGGGTGTGAAGGCAAATGGAAGTGAGTTGAGATTAGAGACGAATGGAGTGGACTGAGCGAAGGAAAACAAATAGCACTTTCACATGGCTAGACAGTCAGGGAAATACACTAGCAAGTACTTTGTAGATGTGCTCAAGTTTTTTTTTTTCTTTACACTGAAATGAGGAAAATGACAAGTAAGCTTAAATTCTGCTCATAACTAGTCATTTGTGAATGATAACATGCTGGTTCTGAATAAATGGTAACCGTTCGCCTTCCGTCTAACACGTTTAGCAACATAATTTATCACGTTATTGAGTATATTTAGCAGTCATTAAGGCTGGTATTAAATGTGCTTGACAGCTATTAGCTATTTTAATAAAGCAGAAATTAGTATAGAAATAAGCATCTAACAAAAATTAACCATTTTTTAAATACTATATAGGGTACAACGTGGCTAAAGGTGGTAGGGTAAAAGGATCACAAGCATGGGGCAAAATGCACAAAGTAGTAATATGTTTTGAATAATATCTAAGTTAATACTCGTTCAAAACATTGAAGCAAAGTTTGTGCTATTTTCCGTTTACTTTGATGAATAAAAGAATTTATTTTTGTTCAATGAATATACTCATTAATTTGTTAATTTTAACCCTCTGGGGTTGTTCGTTTAACAGTCACACTTGGGGTGTTCGGGTCCAAATGGACCCAAAGGGCAGGATTCATATTTTTTAAAAAAAATCATAATGTTTTATTTTTTTATAATTTTTTTTTTTATAATATTTTTTCTTTTCTTTTTTGGTGTTTTGAGATCATTTCAAAAATAAAAATGATTTAGAATTAATATTAATGCAATAATTATTACCCATTTTTTCCCCATTGAATATAATAGAGCATTTTAGAGTCAAGCCTAGGCCTCATGAAAGCAATTTTTGAAATGAGATGGATGCCATCTGGTGGACAAACTGAGCATTTTAAAAATTCAAAACCCATATGTAATCTGAATTTATTAGTGTGTATGTGTATAAAAGTGTGTGTGTGTGTGTGGATGTGTCTGTTTTGCACTCTTGATGTTTTATAGATTCACCCCTTCACTGTTGTGTGCTTTGTTTCTGGATCGTGGCTGATTTGTAGTTTGTACGCACAAAAAAAACTCTGTATTTTCACATTTTTGCCAATTTCCCATTCATTTCCTATGCGGGTCCATTTGGACCCGAAGGTCCTGAGTGTGACTATTTTTTTTACAACCACTTAGACTATTCAAATCCTGTCCCCAATTTTTTTGGGTGTTCATATACCAAGTACCAACAAAGTCACCAAATTTCGGACCATTCCGATAAAGCTATGATTTAAAAAAAAGAATATTTAAATGCTTCAGGTCCATTTGGGCCGAACAACCCCAGAGGGTTAAAAAATACAGAAACAAAAGTAAAGATTCTGAAAGCATTGAATGAGATCCCATAATAATGTAATATAGCTTTACAGTAGTAACAATAAAAATGAAATTTAATTATATGATCAACATCATATTTTTAATTTTCATGGTGGACAACACCCAGCATAATATATGATATTGACCATGTGAATCTAATGTCATGTTAACAAATGGAAAAGTCAGCCAGCTATTTATTATCATGTTAATTATTGTCCCTTTTGTCCCGACAGCAGGGGTGCCTTTTACTCCAAATACCTTACTTTTACATATTCTTCAGTGAAAAACTGTTGCTTTAACTACCTTGAACAAACATTAACAAGACCTTTGTCTCAAAATATCGATAATTTTATCGATTCTCATTTGCTACATAAATCACATTTCATTAAACATTAAATGGTAGATCAAAGTAGCGCAGAATCAACTTTGCTTTGCTGTCCACGATCGCGTCAAGGATCAGCCGAATTCCCACGTCCATAGTCAAATGCGGTTGTAAAAAAAAAAGTGCTGGGGTTAACTTTTGTGCAGTCTAGTGGTTTAAAGGAGAGAAGTCAGATGCGCACCACACACACATACAAACTGTGTGTGTGTATGTATATATATATATATATATTTATTTATTTATATATATATATATATATATATATATATATATTTTTATATATATATATATTTATATATATATATATATTTATATATATATATATATATATATATTTATATATATATTTATATATATATATATATTTATATATATATTTATATTCCTCAAAACCACTTTTTTTTTTTTGCTCTAATTTAACCATTATAATGGCTAAAATAATAATGGGATGCTGCCTGTTGCATTTGCTGTTGTTTTTTCTTCACCGCACATTTTCACTTTGCAAATGTAAAAATATAATAGACTGTTTGTCTGTATCTTTATTCAGTATGAGGACAGTGGTTTTGAAAGACACATCAACGGATCAATATGTGATGGCCCTTTTTTACGGTTTTCCGGAAAAGTATGATGACTTTGTGGCAAAAAAATTTTTTTTTAAAAGACTTCTTCAAAAATTACAAAATCAAATGGTTTAAATTTTTGTGCTGCAAGGAATAGTTTGAAAAGGTTTTATACTTTCATCTTGTTTACTGGAATCAGATCTGATTCCAGTAAACAAGATGAAAGTATAAAAGATTCATTATGAACAAACCTTTTGTTGGGATTGCAAGAGATTTAGTGATAATGTTTAAACCTCACACCAATGACTCACTCCATTAACTGAATCCATTATGATGCAACCCTTAAGTAACATTGCGAAAGATCATTCATTATTTAAACCTTTTTTTTTTTTTAAATGATATTCTTTCCTGAAAGGGTTTTCATTTTTCTTCTGACAGGTCCGACTTCAGTTCTCTGCACTTTCAGAGAGCTGTCACATTTTCTCCATCAATATCTATCAGGACTCGAGTCAATATGTCCGCTTTCGAAAGCCATTCTTATTCTGTTCAAAGGCCGAACGAGAGCTTATCAGAAAAATCCCTCTCTCAATGAGCTAAGCACCAGGCCTCCTTTTCCTTTTCACCCCAACATTGTCTCTCTCTCTCTCTCTCTCTTTTTTTTTTCTCTTTCATTCAATCGAATATAATTACACACACGTTAGGGGTCTATAATGTTAATTCAGTGAAACCGGTGTGGGGAGAATTCAACAATAGTGGTGATCTTAGTTCAGGGCCAGAGGGCTTCTTTAAACAATGGGGGTCCATAGATGGGTTACAAAAGCTACTCCCAGTGTAGCACTTTGCAGAAACTACCAGCAAATGGACCTAAATCCCCTGTGCTTTCTTTTCTACACCCACAGAGGATGTCCACGTTCACTTTCAGAAGTGTGAGGTGGAGTATCTGCAGTTTGCTTTCCGCTGGATGAATAATCTTCTGATGAGGGAGCTGCCGCTGCGCTGTACCATACGCCTGTGGGACACATACCAGGTACTGCTGCACCAAACCAGCAAGACATTTAGAATGAAAACATGTCAGAAAAGCCTTTGCTTGTGCTTCTGTCTATGTGCCTTTTATCTGATCATTTTTTCCCGAGTGACTTGGAGTGGCCTGGGGTTAAACGTCTTAATCAAAAACAGTGGTGACCGTTCATGGATCACTTACATGTTTGAACCTAAAAAATTTGGTTACCAGCCCAAAACTTGAACCACTAGTAGGGGGTGTACATATTTGTGCTGAGAATTCGTTTTTCAGTTCGGTTTCTTTGGTATAGTACCATTTTTGCTTTCGTTTAGAAATGTATCATTTGCCCGAACTTTTTAGGAAACAAATCATTATACCACCTAATTAATATTTATTAAAATGAATATTACAATACATACTTCAGTGTAGGAATAGAAATGTGAATTATTATTATTAATGTTAAATATGATTGATGATAAATATTCAAGTTTCTACACCCCTAAACTAGAGGGACAGTCGTAGAATATTGACAAAAACAATACACCATTTTTGTACAGTACTACTGAATAAAAATAGCATGTCATTTTATTTTAAAAAAAATTACTTTCATTTATTTTTGCAGGAATAAAGAAATAAAAAAAAACTTGTTTGGCCATTTCAGAAGATGGTTTTATGAAGAGGTTCATGTCCATTTGTATTTATTTTTTTATACTTGAATTTTGTTTGTAATTATGGTTAATTATTAAATTCCACAACTGATGCATTCAATGTCTTTTTACTAGTGCTGGCAATTGATTTTAAAAAACAACTAATTAATCACACATTTTTCTGTAATTAATAGCGATTAATCCCATCTAACTAAAGATTTTAATATATTTTTATATAGTTATTTCACATTGAATCTCCAAATTAATGTAGAAACGGCATAAAGACAGTATATTTTAAATATTTGTTTAATGACATCTTTTTGTGAAAGAAGGCCAGTATCACCAATACCAATTCTGATGTCTCTATGAAATTAATATTTTTTTTCTAAATTTTATCCATTAATTATAGCCATTCAACGTTACAGTATAATTGAAATCTATCAGTTTTAACATTTATTAGGCTTTAAAAAATACAACTTTTAATTTAAGTGAACTTAAAACAATCTTCAAATAAACCCATTGTAATAAATGTCACAATTAGCTGTGCCTTCAATATATCACGGCTCAATTTTTTAATTGGCCCAGTCAGACCAATTTAGATTTTTACTTCCCTGTCAAAATGCATAAAAATGTATTGTTTTCATTGTTTTGACCCACGTAACCTTGTAAACAGTGCTTTAAGATTTTCAGGTAGGTCTAGCGGGTAGGAAATATACAAAAATTTAAATAGTTATCAAACACTTCATTCTTCACTGCATAAATTAAATGTAGATTAATCATTATTAAAGCTACAAAAGTTATTCAGTCAAGAGCAATGAGTGATTTTCTCTTTTTCTTTTGTTCTTTAATTAACATTAATGAAAGACATCACAGCAGCAGGTTTATTAGGCTGCTGTCACTAAGACCTGACGCACATCTAATCTTCTCGCAACTCTTTACGTTTGTAGCGAGGTTTGTAGGAGGCGGGAACCGGCGAACATTTCACAATTTAATTATCATTAAAAAAAAAAACACAAAATGAAGGTAAAGCGGCAGCCCCTCATGGACAAATGCCGCATACACAAACAAAAACGCAACATAAAATAGTCCAGGCCTGGTCCTCTCTCATCCTTCACTGTGAGTGCCCCTTCATGAGAACTTAAAGCTGGTGCGGAAATTAATCGCATGCATTGACGTGTTCATTTTGACAGCCCTACTTTTTACATCCCTAGTCACCCCTATGTCACCTCCTGTAACAGGGTTTGCGGGAATAATGCAGACTCCCATGAATGAGTGCTGATCTTCAAGTAATTTTTTTAAACGCTTCAGAGGTTATGGGTGACATGTCCTTGAACACCATATGCTGCTCATACATTTTTTTTTCTTGTTAAAATCACAAAGGTGTGAACTACTCATATTCCTGTCATTCATTAATATTCCTTTGAAGAGTTTCCTTCCACTGATTTCCTTTCGTGTCCTGTCTTCATGTCCTCTCTGAGACTTCCTTTTGATATATCTCCTTGCTGATTTCTTTGTCCTTTACGTCTGCCTCCGCCTATCTGCCGATCCATCTCTCATGCATGGCTTTTTGACGTAGATCCATTCCCACAAGGTGGGTTTTATCGGATAAAGGGGGAATAGTTGTCAGGTGACAAGTACAATCCAAGAGAGGGAATGGCGAGTGGTGAACCATTTGCATGTCATTTGCTTCTGTACGTTTTGAATCAGCGTTGTTGCCAAACATTGTTGATAGCCATGTTTGATCATCAGCCCCTTTAAGCAACCTTAAAGACGACACATACCTTTAAAAAGACCTATTATGCCCTTTTACAAAGTCTTGATTTTGTTTTTGGGGTCTAATAGAATAGCTTTTCTTGATTAAATGTTTAGAAAACATTTTTCGTATATTTTACGTTGTTGCAGCACCTCATTTCCCAGTCTGTCAGTAAAACTCTGTTTAGTTCCAGTCTCTATGAAGCCCCTTCTTCTGAAAAGATTGGTCGGCTGGACCAGTGTGTTGTGATTGGTCAACCTCTTCAAGAATGTTCCGAAATGTCACCTTAACCACAACCGCGAGTTTCAACACACTACTAACGCAACTCAGCCAGGCCTTGCCCACCTTTTTTGCACATGTCTTGGGTGGGAATTATTTAAATAAGCAATATTGTGACTTGTTCGTTCCCGGAAAAAAACTCAAGACTGCAATGAAGGCATTTCAGGAAGTTCAGAAACAGTGCTTACTGATAGAGAATAACTCTGTTTGGAGTGACTTTGTAACCTTGCAGACATGTTTCATGTTCAAACAGTTGAAAGTTGAAAATGTAAAAAATCATAATAGGTCCTCTTTAACATATTTTGACATTTTTCTTAACCGCATGTGTAAAATCTTAAGAATTACAGTGTACCTTTAAGCTCTGCTTGACAAGCACAGTTTTCCTCCAGTTATTTTCCATCTGTTCTTTCTCAATTCCTGCATCTTTTTTTCTTTACTTATTTCCTCAGGCATTTCCACAGTGGGGTCAGGGTTGGGGCGAGCAGTAAAGGTGGCATTGACCCACCTCGCTGAGGTTGTAACAGTCTATCTGAGAACTCTCAGAAGGGCACATCACACATATATTTATAAGGGAGGACTCTTTTGACTATAATGTCTTTAACCAGACTCAGAAACACTCAAACCATAAGTCCAAACACAGAAGTAGTTGCAGAAGTGTTTATATCAAATATTCCACACAAAACCATCTAAACGGAGAGTCAACATATGAAGATAGTTGCATGTATGTTTTCTTTGTTGTCATGGTGAATAAAGATATAAGAAACCGAGCTTATCTGGTCATTGTCCAAGAAATGGCTTTCCTTTAGAGGTATTTGAGAATGGTGCAGGTGAAGTTAGGGGTATGCTAAACAAGAAAGGAGCAAACAATCCAGTAGATCATTTCAAATTCTAGCTTCAATCAATTCAGGCTTCAGTTTAGGGTACGTTGCAATAACGGTGTCCTTGCAGCACTCAAACATCCCTGTTATCTGTTGATTCATTTATCCAATGATAATATTGGTATAACTTAGTAAAATCCCCACAAGAAACCGTACAGCATAGGATGGAAGATGTCTCAACCCAGTAGAATAAGAAAGATAAACATTGTGGATGGGGCATGTACGAGAAGTCCTTCTAAATAGAAACATACAGGCTAATATTAGCACCAAACATAATCGCATGAAATGACCCAAATAAGACGTAACCCACCAAATACAATGTTAACAACACAAAATGAACAAAACACTTACTTGGATGAGCTTAAAACAACAGTTTCTCAACCCGGACTCTACACATAAGGTTAGCACAAGAGGAGGCCATGCTTCTCTCCAACCAATCATGCTCCAACTCTACTTCTCCCTGCCTTTTATCCAGAGGAGGAGTAGTCTGGAGAGCCCCCTGGAGCATGATTGTGGTACTACAGCTTGAAACCATAGTAACTGCTCTAAGGGCCGTTACAAGGTAGAGAAGGGGAAATGTGTAAATTACCTCGTTTCTACCAAAAAAGAACTGGTTCGGAACTGGTGCTGGTTCAACTTGCGAACTTTCTTAGAACCTGTTTGATTTTCCACTGACTAGAGAGCCCAGCGAACGATGTCGTTACATCACTATGTACGTCGCCATGCGTCTAACAAACAGTTTGTCTCCTCCACCGACCACTGTTTCGCTTTAGAATCCATCTTTCTTCAATCGTTGTACTATCTGTCTACTAGCGCTGTGTTTTTAGCTTTGGCGGTCACAACCTTTCCCGTCGTGTTGTTGGTCACAATAACCCTGCCCCCATCCCCCGACGTAAGCATGACGTGGTAAAAGAACGTTCTAGTCCAGCAAAGAGTTGGTGCCGCGTTGGAACCAATTTTCCTGGCCGAGAGCCGGTTCTTTTAGCCTGACTACATCAGACTTCGTACTTCCGCTCAATTTCATTTCGATTCTGTACTCAGTCTGAGACAGCGGCCTATTTATCCGTTTTCCTCCGGCCTGAAAAAAGCCGGGCCAATCAAGGAACAGAGGGCGGGCTGAAAGCCGTGACGTAGACGCTAAGCGCCGAGTTTAAGATTAGGTTAGAGAAATCGAAAACGGCCGCGGATTTGGAGACGCGGATGCAATTCGCTCTGTTGTGGAGAATATTCCCGGCATTAGCAAACTGAAGCCCGAACAAGAAGAGTGTGTATTAAACATTTTGAATGGAGGTGATGTTGTGGCCCTACTCCCTTTGGGAAAAGTTTAATTTATCAACTATTACCGATCGTCAGCAAGAAACTGGGGAGCGTTTTGACAGGTCACTAGCTGCGTTTACATGGACACTTATAATCGGATTGACGGCTCAATCGGACTAAAAACCCTTCATGTAAACACCTTAATCGATCCGA